ACGATGTGTCGATCAACGGCCTCGTAGTATGTGCGTCATTCTCTCCTTGCAGGCTGCATATGATATCATAGCTGTCACCGTCTCTCTGTACATATATATACCGACGTTGGCGTCGATGAATCCAAGTTCCCTCTTGCACTCAAACTCCCACATTCCCTCTCTCGCGCAAACCGATCAAGTCATTAGTCTGTCGCAGGTAAGTGTTGAACTCGGTAGACGGATATTACGAGAAAATACGCGCATAGTCATTCGGACTAGCCTCGGGACTCATTCGCTCGGGCATCGTCATTCGGACGTGCATATCGAGACGTATCCGGTATTAGACGTCGGGCATACTATTGAAGTTATTGATCGTTATCGTTCACGTTCAATTGATCGTGGACTCGTTACGCATATAGTCAGACATTGTGGCCAAATAACATTTTATTACTTCGCAGCTAGCCTCCAACGTCTTCACCACCTTTCAACCATCTTCGAACGTCGACTGTCGACGACCCTCCCACAGCGGCGGAGATACTGGTGAGGGGTTAGTATGTGGAATCCAAATATGACCAGACGTACTATCACCTCTGAAGACGGCTACAGCAGAAAGCTATATCTGGTTATGCGGAGGGACATCAAGAGCGGTCAATAGCGCTGGGTGTCGGAGCCACTTTGTCCAAAGCGACGGTACTAGTGGGTCACAAGCCGGAGTGAATTATGCTGTCCGGACGTTCAATTTAATGGCTGTGTGAGCGAACGCAGGGATAACGTGCAAAGGTCATAAAACATGTAGATGGTTTATACCGGAGAAGTAGGGCAGGGATGATGGATTGAAAAATCCGATACAGCAGCAGAGTATCCAGATAAGGGTGAAACACTCCAAGGACATGTGCCCAAGGACGGACCCCAAAGGAGTGGGCGGTGCAAAGCAGCCAGCACTGCCTAATTGTAGGGTTTGGACGTAAAAGGATATAGGCCCGCTGGCAGTATCCGACAGAGGTACCGGAGCACAGCAAACGAATACAGGGGGTATTGTTAGTCAAAACATTTTACTAAGAGGTGGACAGTCCGATCATCGAGACGTTATCGGGTATGTCATGGGCGAGCGCATTCCGTGCGACCGGAGTGGCCAGGTGCACTGTGGCTTAATAGCCTATGAAACGCCTCTCTGCGACATGCACACTTTTAGCCAAACTGCGATATGCTGACATCCGCTGTGGGGTACCTAAGCGTAGTCAAGCTTGATATCATCGGACGATAGTAAGATCTGCTCACACTCACACAACAATGTCACACTTCGCAACCGCAGCCACTCCGCCGTTTCAGCGGCGTAGTAATGTAGCGCCGGGAGACTCGAGCACGCGAGACGCAGGTCTGTTTCAGAGAGTCCCTGGCAACTTGTCATGCCAGCAATCGAGCGTGTGTGCAGCCACAGATACAGATCACAGATAAGCGTGGAATGGCTGTGAGGTGACCAAGGAGCGCCTGTGTATTTGTCTATGAGACTGTCCAAATATTGTTATTTGCCGAGAGCTATTAGCATGCGATAAGTGGATTTGGCCAAGCTCATAGAATCGTCCAATTAGCGGAATAAGGCATACATGTGGTTATGTCGAAAATTGCTTGATATGACGCCGAGCCAAGAGCCGACAAGCCTCACTAGCGCCCAGACGCTACTTTAAAGGCAGCATGTCTTCCCGATTTGGAGGGAAGCCTCAGTTTACGATCGCAGGCGAGTGATGTCATGCACGTCTGTCTCTGCCCAATGGCGTCATGTTCCTCCATGCAGGCATATATAAGCTCAGCGTCACTGGAGTCCCTCGCTTCCCCTCTTTCCCTCCTACTTTTTTTCCTCCTCACTGAGGTTATTAAATTGTTATCTTGTTGACTGTTGTCCGACAACGGCCGCACATAACGAATGTCGTAACTCCAAACAAATGTCAACTGCCAGTCGCGATCGGCGCCTCCGAGTCACGGTAACAACTCGGGAACAGCCGAAGCAGGGACCCGGGCGCCAGGCCAGCGGGCGCGACGGCGGAAAAATATCAAAGCAGCGTATATAACCTCGACGACGACGGCCAACTCACCCTCCTCTCCGCGTCTCACTAAACCAAACGCTGGCGCCGTGCCTGTCGACGTCGACGCGTTCCGCTATTTGCTGTAAAACCTACCTATTGAGGTATAGCCGCACCTCGCCTGAGAATCGCCGACGACCGACTCGCTTGTGGCAGCGATACTATCACCGCTAATCACATCATTGCTCCTGGTGATCTCTAATCGTCAACCATAACTACCCCTTGCCCTCGGGGAATCTCTTGCACACTCATCCTCTGCGCCCGTAACGTGCGCTCCCTCGCAGTCATCCATCTAGACGCGCATTGCACCCGTGTACGACCCGCGAATGACGAAGAAGAACGCTATCATCTTTGGTACTCATCGATCTCCATTTCCCCTTCCATTCTGCGCTAACCCGTCGTCTCAGGTGGTCTCAACACTTGTACTCGAGCGCTCGCCGCCCACCTCGTTCCCCCGGATGGCGAGCCGCTCGTCGCGGTGAGTAGTACAGTGGCCCAGTAGGACAGTTCATTCCTGACCCTTCCGTTCAAGAATCTCCGGATCGTCGACAAGTACTCCGTCGCGCCTCCTACTACCTACCTGGGCGCCGAGTTCCCCAAGGTACTCGAGAAACCAAATGTCGAGTACAAGCAGGCCAATCTCACCATCCCTGCGGCTGTTACCGCATGCTTCGACCCGCCTGAGGGTCAGGAGCCGTACCACTATGTGTTCGACTTGGCTGGGGAGATCCAGTGGGATAGGCCGGAGAAGGTCCAGATCAACAACACGCTCTGCGTCTCTCAACATGTAGGCCTCGAGGCGGCGCGTCGAGGGGTGCTCGCGTATGTCAAACTGATGCACCCGTTTTACGAGTGTAAAGAGAAGGGCTCGCATGACGAGAAGGAGGACGTGAAGCCGGACGGAGTGTTGGGAACGTGGTGGCACGAGACGCTTCGGACGTTGGGCGCGATCGACGGGTGCGCATTGTCTTTGTTCTCATCTGTGTGTATATGCTAACAGACGACAGTCTCAACCTCGTCATCGTGCGGAAAGCGTGTGTATATGGACCCTATGTTGACTATGGCCGTGCGTTTAGTAAACTTTGAGATTGTTACGCTGATGTTGAAGTGTCTCCACAGCGATCACCTCCTACATGGCCATGGCTTCTGTGTATGCCTACTTGAAACAACCAGTGAAATGCTTGTGGGTACCATTATATCTCAGCGTCGTACCTACTCCCAACAATGTTTTCGTCAGGTGGGGCCCAGGCAAGCATCCTGTCCATACCGTCCACGTAGACGACGTCGCGGGTGCTATGTGGGCTTGCGCCGAATGGATTGACCGTGTGGGAGGCCGTACAAAGGCGAATGAGATAGCAGGCGAAGAAATTCCGTTCAGGAATGACAAGAGCAAGGCAGCGCAAGTCCCGGCGATGGCTCCACCAGATCAAAAGATAGTTGCCCCCCTCTTTCACCTGGTGGGTGATCAGCGGTGGCTCAATCAGGTGTCATACTACGGTGCTAACTATACGGCATATCGCAGGAGGATGATGGTAATCTGGACCTCGCCGGACTGGGAACCCGAGTAGCAAACGCATTTGGGACACAATTAGAGTTCTACAACTTCATGGTAAACACCTTGGCGAAGGTGCGTCCAGCGCCTCATCGAGCCTTGTTCTGTACTGAGATAATGCCTCTGCCTCGCAGTTCAAGCTCGAAGACCACGTGGAGGATATCAACGAAGAGCACGTCTCGACGTGGACTACGATGATCACGGAGTCCAAGCCTCCTTGCCCTCAGACGCACTACACTGCGTACATGACCGTGTACAATCTCAAGCGGATCGTTGTCGCGTTCAACGCGGACAAGCTGAAGCGCGTTGTTGGGTATCAACTAAAGATACCTCAACTGACACCGGACACGGTTCGCGACGTGATCGACAAACTCAAGGCGGAGGGCTCGTGGCCCAACAACGACTCATAGTTCCTTCTTCGCCGCTCGACTCTGGAATACTCATCGCGAACCTGCACTTGGACCGGAACCTAATTTCCACACTGGGCATAGAACGAGTCTGACGAAGCTAATTGACGATAATGCACGAAATATGAACGGAATGCTGGAATGACGAATGTCGGTGTGCGCGCGATCTCCCCATGTTTCTCTCTGTCTCCTATCTTCCCTCCCATCTCCGTACACCACTTACCTGTGTCATCCTTGTTTGCTGTTTTATCTCCGCGCGACACTTGCTTTGTGTTTGTGTCCAAACATTGTGATAATACGCCTCGTCCCCTTCTCCCCAGTCGCTCTGCGCGCTTCGCATTCGTACGGTTTCCCTTCGCAGCCACATCCTATTTGCTATTTACGTACTATTATTTACTGCGCGTGCGGGTGTTTTCGTTTTGCTGTCTGCGCTATAATACCTTCGGGCGAGTGTCGCTGTAATCAATACTATTGCTGTTTTATCGAATTTGTGTCCTGCGATCGTGCGTTGGCATACCATCGTGAGTATTCATTCCGATTCTTTGTTTTTAACTTGAATTCTTGACACCTCACAAACAGGAGCATCTCTTGTGCTAGCCTTTGTTATAAGTACTTAAGCTGTTGGGACTTGGAAGTACAGTCCCTACTTACGGTAGCAGATCACATGACTGCATATGGTATTTACACCGTTTGTTTTGTACTCGATTCCTTCCGTTTTTGCTAGCTATCACAAGCCAGATCGAACACCGTTCAATGTCGTCTTATTGAACCAGTCGCTGACCAGTCTGTTCCATCCGGTCAACACACGATACGGGCTGCCCGCATAAGACTGTAACGGTATCATGGTGTTACTATGACCGCACACTGGAAACACTGTCGTACGTCGAGTATGTCCATCGGTGAGACCTTGAGTGAAGCTGATCCATCAGCCCACGCAAAGGCGCCATGTCAAGTGCCACAAGGTTGGACAACACGGATCATCGATCCATGATGAAAGCTGTGCTGTCCTCACTGGACCTCACATACGGCGTGAGTAGATAAAGACCAACGTATTCACGTTAACCCCAGCTCAACCAGTACGCAAACCACGACCACCACCAGTGGCACGGATATCGGGCCGTGTGGAACGAACTTCAAACCTAAACAATGAACTTAATCACATTCACGAAGTTCGGAGTGGAGACCTCTCTAGACGTTCAGTCGGCGTTCAGTGAGCCTGTTGGATCTGGTTCAGTGTTTTGCATGTACCATGCAGACGCCATGCTTTCTGACTGCGAAGCGATGTGACCAAGATGCGTTTCCAAGCGCCTTTGAGGACCTTTGTACTAGGTGACCGTCTATTATAAATATACAGATGGAGAACAGATATTAATGAGCTATGTAGATAAATGCATATTGGAATGGTATGACCGAACGGAGATATTTCATGAACCTGACATTGGTGGTTGCATAGTACTAGACGTCAGCCGTTCTGTGCTCGACCTCGTTTCCAGAAGGTCAAAACCCCCGCAACGACAAGTAACGCACCCATCCACTTCGGCTGTGGTCTGCAGTCTATGCGCGGCTCAGGTATTGGGTCTTTGCGTATAAACTCCTGATCCCGTTCGAGCTGTGCCGTCTTCGCCTTGATCCCTGCCTCTATTTCCTCAAGTTCTCTCCGATCGCTCTCATTCTGCTGATCGATGGCTTCCTCCAACTCCCTTTGCATCTCCTGCAATTGCGCTAATTGCCGCTGTTGTCTTGCCGCCAGGTCGCCGAGGAGGGCGACGCCTGCTGACGTCTCGTAAATTGGCTTTCCTTGTTCGACAATTTCCTCCTGTATTTGCAATACGACGGGTTCTTTCTTCACAACATCACGTAGGATTTCTTGTGCGGAGGATGGCGAATTGGTATGATGCAACATCGATGCGCCAGCGTCCATCGCGGGCTTGAAGAAGATGTCCGTCTCGCGAAGCTCCCGCTCACGAGCTGTCGCGACATCCTCACTAACCTCGTTCCACATGTTCAACACTATGACGCAGCTCGCCAGGGCTTTGATTCCGCAGAGTTCCCTGAACATTCTGAAGTTGCGGAGGGCGGTTCCACCCATCCGATTGTCCGTGATTCGATGGAGGTAAATGACGCCATGCAATTTCTGGTTCTGCCTGCGCCTGTATAGGACTGTTTTAATCTGACTACGATTCAATGCAGACCTCACGAGCTCACATTCTAGCTAGAAACTCGGCGATCGCTTTCAGGACTTCTGCGTCGGACTTCGTAGTGTCGTCAAATCCAGGTGTGTCGATGAGCGTTACTTGGCTTTTCTCTAGCGAGAATTGTTTCGAAAATTCGACGGCATATGTCTGGGACTCTAGACCAGTCCCCACACGTAGATAAGAACCACTGGCATCGTTGATGAACTGATTCATTCTCAGAATAAATTGGCGGAGGCCAGTGGGGCCGCTCACTGACCGTTGTCTTGCCGACGCCCGTGGGACCCATTACTCTGTATTGGCTGAGCAGGAGGGCTACGAGGACGACATGGTGGATACTCACGCAATGTAGACGTTCCGGCGGTGTAGAAAGTTCTGAGCGATGGCGAGCATAACGATTTGGCGTCACTGGACAATGAGATGAAGACTACTCTTTCTGAAAGGGATCCAGAAAATGTACCAAGTGCTTTCGCGAGAACATGTGTAGTGCATGCATATTGACTTCGCAGCTTAATATATCTACGCGAGGCTTATAGCCGCTTAGGTACTAGCGACGATGTGTCCAAATCTAAGTATCTTTCCACGTCGCTCCGTCTCCGTCTTCGACAATCACGTACGAAACCTGTCGCGAATAGTATGACTTCCACGCGTTTTGTTGCATGTGATCGACAATGTGATGGCAACGTGTATGCCGAGAAATGCATCTTCCGAATTTTGTTTAGTTGTGTCGGCCTACTTGAAATACTTGCGACCCTGTCCACATGAACAACCTGCCGGCAAACAGAGCGTCCGAATCTGAGTAGTTTTAGGTAGTTTCGATCCTTCTTTGCTACATAGGTCACGTCTGTCGTGAGGATACAACGCGGCTTTGGACCACCATCATGCATCCTGCGCCCCTCAGCCCCGACATTGATCCGACTCCGGACATCGCTACCCCGGGGCCTCACGTCCATGAAGAAGCAGCATAGTGTTGGGGCAGGGATGATTGCGTCGATGACCCACTAGGTAAATACACTTGGAGTCAACAAATGAACGAAAATTCGTTCGTAGAGTCGGACGCAAGTAAGGTTGGTTCTTGAGGATGATATCGCGGAGGAGAGTTATTCGTAGGTCAAGGGTCCACCAGGGACGATCAGGCATGAGAGTCGGATACGCGGGTTGAAGGGCGAAAGCCTGTGGACGACCTGTTCACAAATTCAGAGCGTGAGCCAATCACAACGTGGAAGTTGCCATACGGCCACGGCCCATGATCTTCGGTGGGGTTTTGGGCGCATTGGGCAAGCGTAGCCGCCGGTGTAAGAAGTGCAGCTGATTTTTAAACCACCGTGCTGTCGAGCTGTTCAGTCGCTGGGTGACTTTACCGTCAGATAAAGCTATTTTAGTCGTTAGAAGTGCTCATCAGCCCATTTTCTGCCGGCTAATTAGCCGTAAATTATAGAGGTTAATTTAACCTCTCGCATAGGCTTGGGCTAAACCGCTAAGAGCACTTAGCCGGTTAATCAGGCCATCATATCTATTTCACCGTACTCTATAATCACTATTCATCGACAATGTTCTCCGCCGGTGATTTGTCCGGCGTCGTTCACACATCGCACTCACGCGTCATGGGCGGCAGAGCGGAGCGACAATGTGAATTGGGTTTGAAGACATTGCAATGATTCTTATCACTATGCCCACATTCCTCATGGCGGCTCAAAGGAGTCTAGCTTGAAAGGCATGTTAGGAGTCGGACTGTGGGTATCCGTAAATCAGTATGAGTCTTAGCTAGTATTGTGTGACTGATCATCTTGAGCTGGACCATTGTAGCTTACAAGTCGGCTAACAATACGAAGCCAACAGTGACATGTAAGCGAGTAGCAAGAACCAGGAACAGGAACAATGGGTGCCGAGTTGATGCCATTGAACCTCGGTCGAAACCACGTGTCGAAACACGAGTGGAACATGCAAGACAGACATCAAGGCCATTGGCCGCCCAAAGGTTTCTCAATGCTGGTAAGGCGTGAAGAGTATCCGCAAGTAGACTCCGGTGACCTGGTATTATTGAGACCGCGGGTCCTGACAAAGGGCGTGTCTGCCCCCTCCGAGTTAGGTTCAGCCTTCACGCAGTATTCTGCTCCGAGACGTTCAGCATTTGGAGGATCAACCATCCTGAACTGCAGATCTCTAGTCAGAGATGACTGCATGGTCAAAGTCGCTCATGCGCGAGCTGTCGATATGATGTCGGAGGGAATGGTCTGTGAGTCATGCCGACTAATGACTTCATAAAGACACATTGTGTGGTCCTGCGTCTTCGGACCTCCTGGTCAGGGTTTCCTAATCTAATCATGCCTGAACGCTGCTGCATGTTGTAGAAGAGCGAGCAATCTTCCGATTGAGGGCTTTGGACAGCGATGAGACAAATAAAAGGTACAGATTGCCCCACTGAACTGAATATGCAACTCTTCCGCATGCCAGATTGCCTTAACATCATGAATTCAATACCTGTTTCACCTACTGTAGAGCGGAAATTCATTGCGTGAGCAAATTGCTCTCATCCTGGCTCGATTCCGATGCTGTTTATACCTCCAGGTTGATGGGCACCACCGGAAGCGGTAAGACAACTGTAAGTAACGACAGAGACACTGTTAGTTTTACTAATCGACCAGATTATCTTACCCAGTTTACGAACCTGGTCAGCGGTTCCAGCCTGCCCGTCGGAACCACCTTGGAATCCTCTACGAAGGAGATCCAATTTGCCAAATTCGAGCTTGATGGCGAACACATCGTCTTGATCGATACACCCGGTTTCGACAATACAGATCGTTCCCAAGCTGACGTCCTCAATCAGTTCGCAACCTTCCTTGAACGAAGGTGAGCATCCCGATTATCCTTCACAAATCGAACATGGCTCATGGTCCATAGTTACGAGTGTTGGAACAAGGGTGCGAACGGCGCGGGGCGCGTTTGTCCACAGGCGTAGCAATGCCCGTAAGGGACAATCGCGTGCGGTACGTACATCGCGCGGGGTCGTTATATACTACGATAGGGGCCTCCAGCCCCCGGCTACTTGCGCGCCCGAGCTTTCGAGCTCGTTCCTGACCACGCGGGGCTGCGCGTTTCAACAACGAGGGGGGCGCACGACTCTCCGGAGTCATATACCTCCATCGCATCTCTGACAACCGTATTGGCAGAATCACTATGGACAGCTATCGCTTGTTCCAGAAGCTTTGCGGAAACACGTCCATGTCGAATGTGGTCATCACCACGACCATGTGGGCATCAGTGACCGAGCCACTTGGTGTGAGAATGACGCCGGAAAGACTGCCGGCAGCCAACGTCCTCGATGGACAGGGATCAATGGTGGATAAGGTTACAAACCAATGGGGCTACCTACGGCGCGCAACACCTACATAAGTCCTATTCCCACACCGGCGCATGACCACGTGACCCGGGCCGGCAGCGACGCTTGCCCGACATACCCAAAAGTCAACACTTGGTTCATCGAGAGAGCGTGAAATCGAGAATAAATGCTCGCCTGCATCGCCACATCGATACCGCAGAGTCAGCCAGGAACATTATTCGAGATATCCTTCACCACGTACCACGTACCCTGTTGGTGCAACAGGAAATGGTTGATCAGCACAAGCCGGTTCCTGATACGCAAGCGGGGAACGAGCTCATCTCAAGGCTGGAGAGGAACAGCATGCAAATACAGAAGCGCTTGGACGACTTGTGCAGGGATGTGAATAGGCATCGTCAGAGCGACGAGGAGCCCAACCTCGTGGACTTGGAAGAGCTGCGGAACTCTCTAGATGAAGTAGAGGCGAAGCTGGCGAGGAACCAGCACGAGCGCACTGAACTGCGCACAGGTATCGCACCATACCGCCTCCTCAAGTTGACTAATATGTGGATGCCTTGGGTGTTCAGCCGTATGTGATAGCTCTGAACTCTGCCGCACCGGACCCTCGGACTGTCTGCTGATCGCTGTGTTGATATTCTTCTAGAATTTCCGCCCGGAAACGATGCTCCCAGTGGACAGGGAGGACATACTTGTCACGAGTTGGTACGGCGCCTAGCCGTTTTTTAATTTTTTCCTTTTCGCGGGCTCGAACCCGCGACCTCTGTACCACCTGCCTGATATGGACGCATCGTTATCTACTGTACGATTAGATTAGATAGGACGGCAGTGCACGGCACAGCTCGGGCTCCGCTGACACAGCCGCTCTGACTCACCGGCCCCTGGGGCCGCGTCAGCATGCTGCGCACGGACCAGCTGCGCACGGACCAACGCGCACAGCCTGCCCTAATCTACCCATGTATATAAGCTGGCCTCTGCTGCCCTAGGGACCTCAGTTTCGACCTCTTGTCCCTAGGTCAGTAAGCCCTCATTTGTATTCTTTCTTACCCTACTAACTAATATACTTTCTTGTCCCTAGCCTTAGGTTTGAGCATAGCTCACCATCGCTTCGGTGAGACTTAGTCGGACGCCCCCAGCCTTCAAGTTTTCTCTAGTCGCTTGACCT